AAACCTTAAACTTAACATTTGCAAACCTTTTAATTGAAAGAATATATAATAATTATAATAGGACAACAAATCAAGGATCCGCAGTTAAATTATAATAATAATGCTAATTAATCATGAACTTTGAAGCATCAATTGTAACGGTTTCAGTATGATTGAGATTATAAATTCTCTTCACCAATCCGTTTCCTTACGTTCATTTTATAAATACTTCTTCATGTATGTATTTCCATCTATTAAAAGATATAGTCACATTATGAAACTCTTGGTAGGTATTTAACAGCTTTATTTATAGTTTCGCACGTTGACAAATTAAACATTTTATTTCCCTAAATAAAACTTTACAGCACGTTTTCCATGACAGCTTGAGTACAAACATTCTTTCCTCTTTGGTTTTTCATTTCACTTTATTGCCATATTACGTTATTAGTCACTACAAAGTATAAAACAAAGTCATCCCGAAGTTTGTGTGTTCCTATATATGCTTAGATCTTTAAAATTACGCAACGGATCTTGATGCTGTTTTTTTTTACTAGATACAGTGTTTAATGAGGAAGGCTTATATGTATAATACATTGAACCCGTGCAAAGCCGAGGCGGGTCACTAGTTATTTATAAATACTTTGTTACTTACAAGTGAAGCTAGCAAAATGAAGCCATAAAGCAAGGAATTTATCTTTAAAATCATTATCCTGTCTGGAAGTAATTTTCCTGTCCCAAAAATGGCAGGAAAAGAATGCCAGTAAAACGAGGAATAATGCTGAATGGTAAATTTATTATTAAACACATGCATATAAATTATCAAATATTTCACGGTATTTATTTATTTAGCTAAACTCAACAGCAACAATGGAAAAGTACTGTTCTTACTTACCCTTCCCAAAAATAATCACATACAGGAAAATTACTTTAGTGCGATGATGGCTAAGAGAAAAAATGGCAAAATGGCGGAAATAAATGGTTTGGGAGGCATCGTACCATCTATTTCCTGGATGTTGATTAGTTTGCTGAGAAAAATAAAATGAGCATTGAAATTCGCGCAGGACAATGACGTGGATGATGGTCGCTTGCCTTAAATGTGCTCTCGTTTTAACAAAAATCTCTGTGCACTCTATGAAAACTCTCCAGAATGATGCCACTATATTACGCTTATTATAACATTGAGGAACATTTTATCAAATTAAGTGTAATGTTTTATAGTTGTAGTGAAGAATACGGGAATATCGCCGCACAGGAAAATGACTTTTTCAATGTATTTTGTAATTTTTACTTTGAATTATATTTTCTATGTGCACCAAAATTTGTGAACGAGTAAAACAAATATTCAAATATCTGGCAAAACCGTAATATTTATTAATATTTTAATTTATAATTTTAATTGAGCCTTGCCCCCCATTTGTCCAATTATTAAATATTAACCTATACAATAATACATTTAAATATAATAACTATACGTGTGATAACAACACATAGGAAATAAAAACGGTATATAAGGGGTAAAAATATCTATGCAAACTTAAAAAATATACACTATATATAACAGTCTATTATAGAATTATAAAGTTTAACTCTTTTATTTGATTCTCTCACTTTCACATTCAGATAACTAAACTAGTGCTAAATGTGAGTCAATGCCATTTATCTATAACTATAAGCAAAAAAAAAAGAAGAAACAACGAGTACTTTAGTAGATTCAAATACAAAGCAGTTATGCACTTTATTAATGGTTCCAAAGCGAGTATTTAAAATATCATGGATTAATAATAATATTTAACTGTAAAATGGTTTGTAACAAAAATCATTTGTGTAATGAATCAAACTCGAAAGTTTATACTCTTACCCCGAGTATGTTATAGTGACCAATAAAGTATTGCATTTTAAAAGCCTTTCTGTTTTAATATACCGATAATTTCGTTATAATTCTTATTGAATACCATACGCTCGAAGTCATTGTTTTGATAGCTAAGGAACTGCTTTTGCTGAATCTTGACAAAGTTATGTGTTATTTAGCCTATTTAATTTAATTTATTACTTGCTTAATAGCGCACCGATATTTGAACTACATTCAGTTTTTATTCCAATGCTTTGTTATAATTATTAGTGTCAGTTTTTAATTTACCCTCTCAAAACTATTCTAAAGATTACGTATTGTGTGCATTTAATACGTAATGGATACATTAATTTTTATCGAATATGGATTTATTGTAGAACGAACAAGAACGGGAACATATTGGCACATAAGCTGGTTCTGCATGCCCGTGATATATACTGTGGATATTGTATCTTTGTTACAAAATTGTTTCCCTAACAGCCAAGTTTTTGGTTCTTATATATGGCTAATTCCTTAGATGCATGTTTGTCTTGTATGTGCCTTTCTACAGTGCAATAACAAAGTTGATCCTTGGATTTTGTGAAACAAGTGTGAGCGTGTGCCCACGCAAACACTACCTACTAACTGCCAACGCATTCTTTTCCGAGACATAACAGTTCGTCATTAACGTTAACGTTATAAACCGTTAGCGCTCTCCAGTCGAACGGATTGCATTTTTCACAACGGAAACTGTGTACCGAAGAAAAACGAGTTCTCACGTCACACCCCCTCACAAACGTATATTGTTATATGTGCGGATCAAAATAATACGAGAAAAGGAATGTCAATGTCCTTAAATGACCGCGATTGTCAACTGTCATTTGAAAAGTACAGCTTGCAAAAAAATATTCGAAATTATTATAAATTATTAAAAATTAATTAATTTAAAAAAATTTCGATATTAAAAATGTACCTAATTACTTTTTTATAATATATTTATGAAATTACCAGAATTGACAGAAAAAAAATTACCACGTCAAACGATTGCAAAATGAATACGTGCAAAAAGAATCATTTCAAGACTCCGATAATTATAGTTTTTTTATAAACACAGGTAATAAAATGCCCATTTTTCTTGTTAGCCGGTAGAATATATTAAATATAATATACATAAATACACGTTCTATTTTTGTAGGGGGAAAACAGCAGTCATGATGATGATGACGATGATGCCTCCTCGGACAAATGAAGAAATGAGTGGAATTGATTAAAACTTCTACTTTATGTTATAGATACAAATTTTACTTCCCAATAAATATTATTTCAATAATATCTTTATTGCTCACCCTACCCGACTGAATTGACAGCCATGGCGTCACAAGATGGCGCGTCGTCATTCCTATTTTATTCGACAATCACGCAAGTGTGCAAAATATTTATATTGTTCTATTGGCGCACGGTCCGGTCGTGTTGTTATGATATATGCTCGACTGTACACCGATTGTTCAGTGATGGAGATTACTTTATATCAATTTATTTAAAACAAAATTATTTCACGACCATTGTAGCTTTTAGTTATTCTAGTTCCTAATTTGAAAACAACTTCTTTTTTATTGTAAACTTTCTTTACGTTGCGCAACTTTCGGCCGTCAACACGATATCGAGATCAGAAGCGCCGTGCCTCTCGAGTGTGAAAGTAAAAGATATAAAATTACAGAACACACCTTTTGCGTTTCGTAATTGATTGTTCATGCGCAATCTCGTATGAGAAGATAATCCTGTGTATAACTGTTTGATATAATAAACCGCACGTTTTGATATAAATGTGGACAGTTGTGTAACAAAGTGTTATTAAACTTCGTAATGCGGTTGAGATTTTTTCTATTACTTTTTTCTAATCGATATCGTCATATACACCAATTGTATGTACCACCTACAAGATACACAGTGGCTAAGTGTAGGTGACCCTTAAATCAAATTCAGTCAATAACCATGAATCAACCATTATTTTCTTTTTAACTTAATTATTCGTTGTGAATATTTCACTCGACCATGGTCTTGTTTCATCCATACTAATATTATAAATGAGAAAGTAACTCTGTCTGTCTGTCTCGCTTTCACGCCATAAACTCATAACTTAAATTAAATTTGGTACACAGATAGTCTAGAGCCTGGGAAAGGACATAGGCTATTTTCTAATTGGAAAAGGTAAAGGGTTGAAAGGTTAAAGAAAGATATTTATTTAAGCCGCGGGCGAAAGGCTAGTTATTTTATAAACCTTGATGTCTCTAGTGTGTTAATTAAAAATTACGCCTATAAAAGAGAAATATTTCGTTATCTGAATGCGACTACGGAATTTTCGTATTGAGTAGGTAGGTCATTTGTTATCCAACAAAATAGTTGCGTGACTCTCAGACGCAAATTACGTTACTAATGTGAGATTCTTGATGCTGACGCTTGGCTCTGTACATCGACTAGTGTCTATTTTATTTTTTACTAAAGCATATAACTCATTTTGTTTCTTCCCGACAAACAAAACCGCCCGTGACCAAACTCCCGAGCTGTTAAGTGAAAATTTGAAAACAAATTCTAAATGAAATTAAAAACGGTAAAACAGTTTTAAGTTGAGGCGTTCGTAACAGCTAAGAAACACCCTCTTATATCCAACTACTGGAAAGAGTTTACCCCGGATTGGAAGGCTTCTCAGATGTTTCTGTTTTTTTTACTACTATGCATTTCCAAAATTTGCAGGTGTCCGCACGATGTTTTATTTCAGCGACGAGCACGTGATAAAGCAGCACTTGAAATCGCAATTAAAATCTCTCTCATGCGTCAAGACGCGTCAGAAATCAGAATGCTGGAGTATATTACATTAAAAGCAGACGCCCAGGATCTGATCTAGCACATTCGTAAACGTGATTATTTAAACCAATCGGTTCACACAGCTTTAAGTAATGCTATTCTATTCAACCTAACGGTGTCTGAAATTCAGTAGGAAGAGACCGTGTGAGTTAATTAGATAAGACAGTCATTTTTTTTATTGATACTTGATTTCTACCTTTGAACGCGGGACGTTGCTTAAGCCAAGGGGCGCACGTAGCGGTCTGAACGTATGTGTCTACCTTCAGTTCTTGTAAATTTTATACCGAACCACGTGTCTTTTCTCATCGCTACATGTTGTTCGTCCGGATAAATGGCCATCGTCGCTTCGCGTGTTCACGCACGAAGCGGCGGTGGCGGAAATACGCGCGAGAAAAACCGCGCCCGGTCGAAAAATGAATTACGCACGAGCGAGACGCCTTCTGTGATCGGCGCGCGCGAGACAGGGACGGCATCTGGGTCGATGTACCCCGCGGTGCGTTGTGGTGGTGTCGGTCTCGCTGGCGCACGCCGATGTTGACGCGACACTCTCGGATTGAGTTCTTAAGGTATCCTCAGCTGCTTAATAATGTACCAATATGCAGGTACTCACTCGTCTACTACTAACCATTCACAACTAGATACACAAGCGGTCACGGGTATTAACTGGTTTAAACGCAATTTTTGAAAACCGTAAGTGCCCTATCGTGTCGTGTTTGCAGTTTACACAAACACACTGTCTGAGGTGGCCGATTGAAGGTGTAGCAGTGTCCGTTGTCGCACCTTGGGGCTCAGTGGAAAGGTTTTTCGATATCTTGTACAAACTACGATCCAATTGGACACTGGCATCTTTTTGCACGGCTAGTCTCCCCGTCCTACACGGAGGACTGCGCAAAATAACTCGTAACACTAGTTCCTCGTCACACCTATGCGCCCGTATGCTATGACCTTGACCGGAATGAGTTGAGCCGCGTGAAAACGCTTAATGGTGAACAACGAGAAATTGTGACCATGAGAAATTGTGGCGCAAAAGGGAACGGGACACCCCTCGATATGAAATATTTATAGCGGAGAGGGCAGGTGCGTTAGGACCGTGGAGATTCCTACATACACATCTGGATATCGGTAGTGAGGTTTTAGGTATTCTGTCTTGGGATATACTGCTTATACTCAGCCGCCGTGTGTAGCGACTGCAATAACATCGCTACTTACCACCTGTAAAGTATTTTTGTATAGCTTTGATAGGGAGAGTCGTTCGAAAAACCACCTGCACACACACATGCTATTACAATTTATATGCGCATTTAATGAGTTTATTGGCACTACTGTATGGGTTGTCAGTTCGACGCCAACGAACCTTGCGCGTAATTGCTAAATGTAATAAAAACGTTCTCTCCTCAGTCGTTTTGTGCACCTGCTTTTGAGAGTTTTTCTTTTATAACTATCCACAGTTTAAATTATAGCTTAATTTACTCATATTTCTCTGTATGTCAATATTATAATTAAACTTGGGTGTCTCTGTGTCTTGTCAGGTCTGTAACTGATTTAATGAGATTCGTAAATTATTAAGCCCGAAGATTTTTATCTTTACTGGAGGATGGTTTCGCTTTTGGCCCAAAATACTACATAATGCTTCATCGACCGGGTACCGAAAAAATTCTATTTATTACGTGCATATATCTAGATGCTACAAGGAAAGCTGTCGGTTTCAATGAAAATTGTTTAGCATAATTCTGGACTCGCTGGCTTTACCTGCAACGTTTAATGACGCATAAATGATATCCTGTGGGGCTGGACACTTATATATCTAGAAAAACAGTTGACAGCTGTAAGAATTAGTACGATTCACTCTAAACGGAAGGAATAACGGAGATACGGTTAGTTATTTCTTGCTTGCATAGAATATGCAATCAAGAAACAAGCTGTTTTTACGTCGCACTCTTCGTCGTTATAGGACTACAGTCGGTTCCTGTTGCTGTTGATGGGCTAGGGTGGTTGGTGTCAACTAGTTTCCGCCGGAAGTCTGTCTTCATCCTGTCGCAGAGAGGTGGTAATAGGCAGGTTGAGTATAATCTTGATCTGTCGGGACCAGCGGTGTCGTGCTCTATCTCGAGATCATTTCCCTTGTACTCAGCCTAAGATAATATTTTATTTTCTAGATTTTCTGTATCTCTTCTGGCTGCAGTAGATCACATTTATCCAAAATAGAACGTTCGTGAGTACACATCTGTGTAAAAAGATGTGTTTATATAAGAAACGCTGGGCGTTCTTGTCAATGATATACGAATACGAGGTGGATATGACACTTTTATTTTGTGTGAGAAGGTGGCAAGTGAGCTGGCGGTTCATCTGATATTAAGTGATAACCGCCGCCCATGGACACACCCGTAGGGCTGCAGATGCGTTGCTTTTAATCAAGCGGGCCCTGGCTACCTCACTCACTAGCAGAATCGCAGAAATATAATGCTTCTGTCTTCTGTGTGGTCGTGGCACTTACCAGGATGGACCTGCTTATTCGTGCTACAGCTTAGACTGTTAAGTGGTCCTACCAAAGTTAAACACGCGACGAAACTGATGCACTCGAATTACGTCAATTATTGTATTTGATTAGTCTGCCATCTCTCCGTATCGTACGTTCTATATTCTATATCATCTGTCAAATTCACTTATAAATGTCATATAATGATGAATAGCGGAACAATTTCTGAAAGCTGCGCAGTGTGGACATGCGTCGTCTTTATTAAAACGTCATTGGTTCATAGAACATTAAAAACGCTTCAATCGCCTAAAAATTGTCAGTAGCTGCGTGTAAGACTGAGTGTAAACACGCTATCGGGTAAACATCCGTGTTTATATATTTGTTTACAATCCGATAGAAATAATAATGTTTACACGTCCCCGAGTGTCGAACGGTGCGAGTTTTAAATCACGCGCTGAACTGCTCACTGGCCAATATCCCACATGGAGTTTGTTGTGCTTGACTGCTAACACTAATTGTAATGTGCAATATCCAGTGGTAGGGCCACGCAACGGTCTTAGCTGTGCAGGAATGGACAGGTCCGTCCGGCAAGAGCCACGACCTAACAGATGACCAGTGTGCAGTGGAAGTGTTATACTGCGTTTCGTCTGCTGAGTAAAGTAACCGGGGCCCGCTTTATTGAAAGATGGCCAACGCGCCTGCAACCGTGCGTGTTGCAAATGACCACGTCATCACTTAACATCAGGTGAATCGCCAGTTCGCTTGCCATCTTCTTACATAACTTTTTATGTAAGATGTCAAGACCAGTCATCGCGATCCGTTTCATGCTTCCGTTAGACTGTCGATGACTCACGTTGCCTTCCCACGTGCCGCTTCTAATGTAGTCGCGCTGCATTTTTTGTATGGTCACCGACGAGCCCTCCCGTTTTATCGCGCTATGTGGCGGACGGCGAACTTACTAACTGAATGGCTTTAATGCTGTCATTTTCTCGCGGAAATCACCCACTTAGACAAGTATGGAATACACGTGTAAATAAAGGCTGTGTTTTAAGTGTCCCCAAACAAGATTGTTATTGAAGCAAACTCGAAAGTAAATTGTTTATTGCGTACTTTTTTCAGGAATGCTTTCCGTGCCTCGCACTCTAATATTATTAACCATAGTTGATACAATAATACCATACCGTTAAACTACTACTATTAATAAATAACCTAACAGTTTAACCAATATAACATTGCACAATATAATAAAACTATATAAGAAGAATAATATTTGAGAAGTGCCCAAATTTACACAGGAGGTTCAGACTCGGTAGTATAATCGTTTATTAAAATAAAAAACAGTTTTTTTTCCAAAAAAAAAAATGCCCCTAAAAACAAACGTGTTGACAATGTGGAAGTCATTCATAAATACCTAAATTTTACTGTGTTTTACACGAACTTGTGTGCGTGTTAGTTACGAATGATCGCGCATAAAATGAGTTGCGTATAAATAACGCACTTTTTGAGCTAAGTTCAAATGAATGTAATTAATTACTTATGAGTGATTTTAAATATTTATCATTTTTCATATAACACTATTTATGTCTAAAATTTAATAAAAAAATGGATACATTTAGAAAAGCCACCCTGTATATCAATATTATTCCAATAAATAATGGTACCTTATCATTTCTAGTTACATATCAATAAAAAATTTTTTGAAATAACCAAGACTATAACCATGACAATTTTTTTTAAATTTAATTTTTAGATAAGTATAATTATTATTTTATCAGATATTCTACTATGGCATATTAAAATTAAGAGGATTATAGTTGCATAGATATAATTAGCTAATATGAATATTAATAGTTTATAACTTGTAGAGCAATTTTTCGAGGCGATCCACAAAATATACATACGTAATAAATAAATATACATCGTAAAACAATTATTATTAATATCCTCAATGATCAGTGATTTCTTCCGCCATTAACGGTCCTAACTTAAGTATATCACAAAAGGAGAGATTTTAACGAGTATTGGAATTGTATGTTATCGGTTTTAATGTGTGTGCTAAATTGCTAATTAAACGGTCGTACGTGAAATTTAAATTGAAATATTTCATATCCTTAACGTAAAGGTAAACACACTGTCGGTAGAAGTTTGTATGTTTTATGAGAAAATGTATTCATTTAATTGCTTGAATACTGGCCGAAATAGCTATAATAATCTCTATATATTATTTCTCAACAGTGTATTTTTGTCGGTACGTGATACTTCAATAATTCCTCCTCAAATTTAACGATTTTAACATCATTTAATGCTATTGTTTTACACTATTGACCAAAAGTAGACAAAGTGAGTAAAGATAATGTTTTCATAAAAAATTATTTCGTTTAAATTTTTTTTAACGAATGTATGCTAATGCCATCTATTGAAAATGTTTTTAAATGAAAGATAACGAAGCAGGGTTTTGGATGTTATCGCATAGCAAAGCTTAAAGGCCCATTTACACGATGCCATTTTCTTGTACATGCAAGAGCAATAATTGCATGCAATAAATTGCGCGCAATAATTGGTTAGACCATTTGTTGTTTAGACCATGCAACTTATTTATTGCTTCAATTTAATTGTATACAACAGGCAAGAAACTGGTACCGTGTAAATGGGCCTTTATTCACAGTAATCCTTACAACTCGAGCTTCAAGGTCGGTAACCACTTGTAACTTTATGCGCCTATAAGCACTGCTTTGTTATATGATCGGAACGAAAGATGATTAAGAGTCTAATTAAAATTTAAGAATTAACATATTATTATATTGTGTTATATATTTTAATTTATATTCCGTAATGCAAATGCGATTGTGTTGCGATTTTTATGTACAAAGTAGTCAAGCGAGCGGTCGGTTAACCTGATGTTAAGTGATTGCAGCCGCGCACCTAAGGGTTTAAGACACGCTGATGTTAAAAGCAGTGGGCCCTGGATACCCCACTCACAAGACGTTACGGGAAACTTTAATTCATCCACTTCGCGCCGTTCTTCTGTGAGGCGGTGATTTGATTGTGTGAGTGATTTAAATAAGAACACACTATCAACATCTCATTATCCAAACGTCTTGTAATAAAACAGTTGTTATCGCTTTATGGGTACGAGTTTCTCTCGACCAAAACGCCAGCGAAGCGGAACCTGATTGTGGGGCGTTCCTCCTGAATTCGTTAATGTCTAATTCATATTTGCAGACTGTGTGACACCAATCTCCATTTATGTTTTACGTTAAAACATTAAATGAAATGGGAAGGATCATCATCGTTAATGTTATAAACAAATCATCGTTAATGTTATAAACAAATGATAGAAATATCATAAATGTTAACCTTCGTTTGTATGAAGATAGTCCCCGACTTTCGGTAGTCGGAAAATGAGACTCATTTCTTGATTGCTTGGTAGCCAGGTGCTGTTTGCGAACGTTCATTATTTTGGCCGATGATGGTTTATTTATATTCCGTGAATGTGATGCGAAAGAATTAAAATAACTTTTATTGGTAAAATCTTGCAAAGCTCCCTCCAATTTGATGTTAAATAATGCCTTGTCCTTACAAACAGACCAAGTGCTACATGCACTTGCGCTGTTTTTTCGGACTTTCGAAGTGGTTAGAAAAAAACGTTTGAGGAATCCTGTTTTAGATTTTGGCATCGGAATCGAATTCACCGGAATAATATACAGATAGATTTGCTAACTAGCGATAGGTGTTTGAAATTATGTCTATAATAATGACGTTAAAATTCTATCTCCAGCACTGCTGCCAACAAACTGCATCGCAGTTAGGAAATATTCTAATTGGCAACAAAGCTTTAGTAGATTTTACTAACTCGAAAGTTTTACATTAAACTACTATAAATGTAGAGTCTGTATCTCTTTTGTAACTATATCAGCAGTTTTTTGAATACATTGTTAAGAGAGATAATGAGATGTATGGGCCATAACGCTAATATGTAACAGATGCCTACAAATCACCCTTCAAACAGAAGAAGTTAGCAGCAGTCACAAACTTTCTATTACATGATACGTATAATTTACGCAGTGTTGCTCCAAAGAGATTTGAAGGCAGGTGGCCTTTCATTAAAGTTGAGAAACTGTATCAGTCAAACTTGCTATTTTAAAGCACAATACCTTAAAAAACATGTTAATCAAAAAAGAGTACGGACCACGAGCCTGTAGAGTTAGTTTGTCAAAAAAAAAAACACAATACCTATATTTAACTACTTGTGTGCGTAATAACCGTCCCAGAGCGAGACGGACGTTACAAGTGCGGATTCGTTCCGTTTCTTAAGAAAAACGGCAAAAAAATCTTGTTTAATGTATGGGAGCCCAACTAAATTTGTTTAATTTGTTTTTTAGTATTTGTTATTATAGCAGGCAACATAAATACATCATTTGTGAAAATATCAACCGTCTAACTAACAAGGTTCATGAGATACAGCCGGGTGACAGACGGACAGACAGACAGACCGACAGGATGCGGAGTCTTAGTAATAGGTCCCGTTTTACCCTTCGGGTACGGAACCCTAAAAAGCGCATTGTTTAAACCAATTTACGACCATACAGAGGTAATTAAATATAGAAATAATTGTTAAAAATTCCCTTACGGGGGAAAATAAAGGTTATTCTTCATAACTGCCTACTTCCGCTGCCTAGTGACGTATAAGCGCTAATTCGACATAATGCCACCACAGAAAGCATTTGTGGTACCGCCGATTTAAATAATGATTCAATTAATTTGTACAAATTACATTATCGCCCAATGCAATGACTCAACAATACCATGTAGTTCTACCTTATTCTGTTTATAGTATTGTAGTTAATCAATTAAAACTTTGCGAAATATCCTCAAGTCGAAACTCAATTTGTATGATTGAAATGATAAATCGTATTTTTATATCCAAGCCGCATCGTATTAATAATTCTATTTAAAAGTTTTAACGCTATGTTGTAAGGGGAATAATTAAATCCGCTATCTTCCACTCAATTATAAAGAGTTATCGATTATAGTATTATAGCTCTTTATACTTGCGGCAATGGAACACTACATAGTGATGTATGCATCGGGAGTTTTATACAATTAAGCCGTAACTTATACTTTTGCCAAAGAAGAAACTGAAGGAAATATTTTAATGGTGTCAAAGCTAATTGATATAAGAAGCCTTACACGAGGGTCTTAATTTTCGACATATTTTTTGGGGATTCCGTACCAAAAGGGTAAAATGGGACCCTATTATTAAGACTCCGCTGTGTGTCTGTCTGTCCAGCTGTCACCAGGTTGTCTCATGGACCGTGATAGTTAAACAGTTGAAATTTTCACAGATAATTATTTTTGTTGCCGCTATAACAACAAATCCTAAAAAAAAGTCGAGTCATGAAGATTCCGTACCGTCTATAAAAACGGCAAAAAATCATGTTTGTTGTATGGGTGACCCACTGAACAACAATGAGTAAATTTAGTGACAGCGTGGGCATATGTGTATTGTAAATTGTACATGATAGTAATCGTGTACATACAGATGGTATCACTTATCCTCGTCCATTGGTCGAAATTTGACCATAAAGTAATAAACTACATAATTTAACGAATTATTATTTCTCACTCTCATTTGCCAATCTTTCATTTTACATAGGTATTTAAAAAATGTTTAGCCACAAAATTAAATCGGTGCAAATATTTGATGATGTATGTGTGAATGGTGTGTTTGTCAGATTGTTGTTTTTACATCAATATAAAAGAAATTAAGGCATTTTATAATGACAAAAATGTAATACGAATAACGTAATTATGAGAAGGTAAAATAAGTAAATAATTATCCTTTCAAATCTTAAAATTTCTAGAAAGCATATCTGTAGAAAGATTAAGAGCATA